GTATTCATGATGACATGAATTTTTATAAGTTTCTATTTTTATAAAAATATAATAGACGTTTTTTCTTTGTAGATTATAAATCATGTCAACAGTTGAAGATAATGAAAATGAATCTCCTTCTACGGATCCTTCAAACTCAGCCGTGAATAAGGAAGAAGGCGATACAAGTTCGGCACGTTCTGGTCCAAGTAATGATTCTGAAGGTGGGGCAAAGGTAGTTTTTCTGCTTAAAGCAGCAGGTGGTGCACCAATATTAAAAAAGAAAAAATGGGCATTACCAAGAACAAAAACAATGGGTCATATTGTTGAATTTTTAAAAAAATATATGCAACTTGATGCCCAACAACAACAACAACTATTTCTTTATGTCAATCAAGCATTTGCACCAGCACTTGATACAACAATTGGTTCAGTTAATGATAGTTTCAGTAGTGAAGGAACACTTGTCTTACATTATTCATTAACTCAAGCATGGGGATAAAAAAAAGAAAAAAAAACTCAACTATTTCTATGAATCTTTTCTTTCTAATGTACATAAATAAATAAACGAGAATATCATAGAAAATATACAAAAACTTAAAAATATCTGTATTCAATGATAAATCAGTCATATATAAAGAATCTATTTGTACTTAATATGCATTGTAGATTGATGTTGTGGCATTTGATTAGAAAAAATATTATTCAGAAAAGTTCACATATTATTCCTATTTGCTCAATGTCGTCATCATCATCATCGTCTAATGAAATATTTACCAATGAATTTATTCGAAAACGCTTAATACCTTATCTTGATAAAACACCGAATTATGTTGATGAACTTTCTGAAAGTGTCCCAAGATTAAAACGATCACGTCGAGCATCTGTTCTTATTCCTCTTTATTGTAATCAAACAACGAATCGAGTAGAAGTTTTACTTATGAAACGATCAGAAAAAATGCGATCACATACAGGAATGGTTGGTTAGTAATAATATTCAATCGTTCCCGACAAGTAAACTCTTTTCTTTTTTTTTTGAAATATTCTACAGCTTTTCCTGGTGGAATGACTGATCTAACAGATCGTGATTCAATTCATACAGCTGAACGTGAAGCTGAAGAAGAAATAGGTCTTGAACCACATCAATATTCAATAGTTGGTTGTCTTCTTCCATTAACTGATTCTCGTCTGGTTATAATAACACCTGTTGTTGCTTTACTTCATTCACCAAAATTTGTTGATTTTCGTTTATCACTTGATGAAGCATCAGATGCATTTTATGTTGATCTTGAACAATTTCTTTTTGCAAATGAAAATTATAAAATGTTAGAAGCTGGAGATGATTTTGTAACACATCATTTTAATATTGGTAAATATCATGTATGGGGTGTTACTGCTTATCAATTAATTTTAATAGCAACATTAATTTATCAACGTATACCACAATTTCCAGTTTTTCGTCATGAACAATATTTAGATTTAAAACAAATAAAACAACAACAAATGAATTTTTTTCGATTATGTGTTGATTATCGAAATAGAGATAAAATTAAAGAACATAATAAAGAAAAAAGTCGTCTATAAATTTTATCCAAATAATTCTTTTTTTATTTTGCTCTTTAGTTTAAACCAATTTGTATTATTTGTGTGATATTGTTTGGATTATTTTATTATTAAATAAAAATCATGAGAATTTGATTTCAATTTAGTAGAAATGTTGTAAGATAAACATACGATCGTATTAGTATGATTGAAAAAGAAGAAAAGTTAACAATGTCAAATATTTCACACAACTAATTATTATCTGTTTCAGTGTTGAAAAAAAGTTAATTTTTGTACTTTTTGATTCTATACTATTCATAATTTTCTTTTATAACTGTTGTCTTCAAGTAGTTTTAATGTACTTGATATAATGTATTTTTATTTAACGTTTTCGCAAACATATATGTTAGAATTCCACGAAAGCGTTGGCAAATTTTAGCTGATGGAATTACAATAATGACAAAGTTGCTTATTTATGTTATGTCCACGAAAAAAACATCATTGATAAAAAGCAAACGATCACATTCACAAAGAACAATCGACAACGATACATTAATCCAACAGTTGTTTGCAAAAAAAAAAGAAGACTTGCATAATATTAGAAATTTCATTTTTCTAGGATTTTCGTTTGAAACCATTATCAACTTTCTCCTTGTTGGTGATAATGCTTTGATGATTAAACAAAGAAACGATCTTATAACAAAAATACATTTGGTTTTATTTTGAATATATATAAATGAATAATGCCAATCTTCTTCTCGTCTAAGAATCTATTATAATTATACATGAGAAACGCAGGTAACGCACAGACATTTTTTCAATTTCAGAAGTGTATATCTCGACAATTAATGAAGCTAGAGAGTTGAAACTTTTAAGAAATATGTATTCGATGGAATTCTACTACCCGTAATCATTTCAAGCTTCTATCTTTACGCAATCGAGTTTTACACAAAAAATATTGGTCGGTAACGCACAGACAAAAAAAGGTCCTCGTTCTTAAGAAGATACGAAATAAATAAAAATTCCTACGAATTCCTTCATGTTAATGAGTTGTAGTAGTGAGACTTTTTGTAGCTAAGAATCGAAGCTATCTTTTGCTGAATAGATAATATTGATACCTCGAAAAATGAGTGAGGTATTAACAAAGTATTAGGTAACGCACAGACATGATTTTTTTTCGAATAGTTTCCAAATTTAAAAATATTGCCTTGTATTTAGAAATTTCTCTTCGGAATATTAGTATAATGATGTTCATTTGTATTTCAAGCAACTACTACTGCTGTTTTAATATCAATATTTTAAATAATGTTTAAACAAGTTATTATTAAAAACAAAACGATAAGATCACTTTCTTAGAATATAAATCAGAAGAAAAAAGTCCACTTCGATGTTGAACCGCCGTACATAGGACACTCGATAACATCCGGACGAATGGGAATGACATTGTACAATTTCTGAGTATTTTTGACCGGCTTCGTCTTAACGAATAACTGTTGAAGTTTTAGTTTCGATGGACCAATCTTAGTTTGAGAGATTTCATTGATCTCAATAACGTTGCTGTTTTTGAGCAGCAGTATGCTTCATTGTGATGAACGTGATGAAAAAAGTAACAATGAGAGAGATATACTCGCTTTATTTGACTTCTTCACACTACAAATCGTCCCCCTTACACATAGAACACACGCTTAGATATGAGGGATAGACAATGAACTACAGTCAAGCGTAGCCGTCGCACGAAAAAAGAACGGTCACACGGTCAATAGAGAGAATTAGATAAAGATAAAGGTGTTACATTTCGTTACATTCATATAGCAGATGTTCTTCAAATTTCTGGGAACGAGATGAATTTGCTATATATCAAAGTAATCTAGAAGAAAAAAGCATAATTCTTGATAAAGTTTTCTAGAAATCCAGCCAAAACTTCTGCACTTTTATTTTCTATACTTTATTCAGATCAATTAGTCAACAATAAAAACTATGCAGAATTACTTGACATGTTAAGTTTGAGTTGAAACAAACAACTTTCAGTGGATCTATGAATGCGTTAATATGAAGCATTCAAGAGTCGCGTCGGTGCGTTATTGAGTTTCTCAACTCTAAAGCACTGTTATGAAAAACCGATATGTGCATTAGATAGCCTATAAAAATTTAGTGGAAAATCACCGAAAGTTTTATAATAAACAGTTTTATTTTAGTAAAAAAACTAACTAAACTTGGTTTTTCGGAAGAACTTTTCTCTTAGCAAAAACAATCTACAAAACTTTTAAATAGATGAGAAGAAAGCCCAGATTTTGGGCTTCAAAATGGTATAAGATAGTTGATGATCATCGCTTTCTTTGTGTCTTTAGATACGTTTTTCTATGTGGCTTGATCAGCCATTCAATATTAGCAGTGATCATCAATTTTGTTTCGTCCATGTTTTTTCATTTAATAAACGTCAACAGATAGAATGAAAGACAGCTTCATATGCAAAAAAGTTTCCTATACAATATGATACCTGTTAATTTTGTCTACTTTTAACTTCTACTTTAACCATTCTGGTTGACCGTTAGCCGTTTTTCATGTATATATTTCAAGTACAAAATACAAAAAGACTAAATAGACAAACGTCGTGCTTATGATCTTATGCTTTTCGAAATATAGACGGTTCGATAATTCATGCCGATTCTTTCGTCTATAGCATGAGTTCTAGAACGAAAGAGATCTTGACAGATCTTTATCACTCTAAAAATTCTTCATTCTCTTATTTCTTGTTGCCCGATTCTATCACTTCATTTACAGCCCTTGTTTTTTTCTTATATCCATACAAGTGCTAAACATGAATTATTGAATAAAAATAGTGAACACAATTTTGTTTTCAGCAACGCATATAATTCGAAATGCATGATACAGCACACATTTTCATTGCTATCTATGAGTTGCTGACGCCACACATACAAATGTAAAGCAAAGCTTTATCTATTATATATAGAAATATACAACGAATGACAAGTAGAATACTGAGTGAGTGATCAATAACTCAAAAAAAAAATGCTTTGGTATGTTTTCTCTATTGAAAAAAAAAACTCATTAGAATGATAATCATATATCTAACTGCTTTGATAATGCAATTGACACACATGTATGTGCCAACATTGGAATAGAAAAAAAAAATTTTTGTTTAGAATTAAATGATGAGAGGTATCGTAGGATTATTGAAAAGACCATATGACTTTTAGACATATTTAAATAATAATAAAAATTTCATAAAAATTGTCTGGTTCATATATTTTTTTATTAATAAATTATTTTATTTATCTATTATATCGAAATCAATAAATTTTTCATTATAAACAAGTATTTAGAAAGAGAATTTCTATTTCTATTAATATATATAGTTTTTTTCTATTCAATAATCAATATCTATGAAACCAAACAAAAATTAAATTATTCAAAAAAAATTTGTAGAAAATCTAATACTGATTGAACAAAACGAATTTTTACGATTCTAATTGAGCAGCTCGATCAGTTGCTGCTGTTACTGTTTCCATTAGAGCTGCTCGTACAGCAGCTTTTTCCATGATTTCAAGACCATAAATAGTTGTACCACCTTTTAAAAGAATATTTTCATAGATAAAATTCAAATAAAATTTAAAATATTTTTTACCTGGACTAGCTACTGCATCTTTCAATTGACTTGGATGAAATTGTTGTTCTTTATCAAGTAACATTTTTGCTGTACCAAACATCGTTTTTGAAGCTAAAGCCAATGCTAATGGTCGACTTAAACCTGCTTTTACTGCACCATCAGCAAGTGCTTCAACCATAACAGAAAACTAAAAAAAAAAATATTCTTCAAAAACAAATATGTATCTTTATATTACAAATCATACATAAGCAGGTCCACTACCACTTAAAGCAGTGACTACATTGAGTAAATTCTCATCAATTTCACCTTCACATGAACCAACAGATGAGAAAATCGCATTTACTAATGATCGATCCTCTAAATTTTTAATAAAATACATCATCAATGATAAATGAAGTGAATAAAAGAGTTTGTTTCTTTTTTTACCATCAGTAGCACATTGTCCAGATGCATAAACACTACAACTAGCATTAACTAAACAAGCTATATTAGGCATGACACGAACTACTCGACTGTTTGGTTTAAGAAACTAAAAAAAAGAAAGACTTAATATATATTTTTCCTATGTTTGTAAAAATATTTTAATCTAAACAAACTTTTTCAATAGTTGTTGTTCGAATACCAGCTGCAATTGAAACAAGTAAATGATTCTGTGGAATGAAGGATTCTCGAATATCATTTAAGACACTTTCAACATCTTTTGGTTTAACAGCTAAGATAAGTAGACTACTTTGTTTGACTACTTGTTTATTATCAGCTGTTGTTGTAATACCTAATTGAGACTAATTCAAATAAACAAATAATATTTTAAATGAACAAATAAAACAACTGACTGTTGCTATTTTTCGTTGATTTTCATCAACATCACTTGCAATTATTTGATCTTTTGATGAAACAACATTTTGTTCAATAAGACTTCGAGCTAGTGCTTGACACATTCGGCCAGCACCGAGAAACCCAATTTTTACATGAGATAACACTACAATAAAATATTTATCTTAGTTTAATTATCTAATTTAATTTTTTTTTTCATAATATATTAAATATATTAAACTTAACTATTAATTTATACTTGAAAATAACTAAATTATTTAAGTGACATTTAAAATATACGTACCTTTGCTCTCCATTGAAACAAAAGATAACACAAGAAAAAAAAAAGAAATGAATAAAACACATACACATATTATAATATAGGTTAACGACTTGTTATCATTTCTTTCAAAGTTGATATAGCTTAAATAAACTTATACTGATTCAGTATAACGAAATAAAAGAGATAAACTTTCAACATTATTTATATATATATATATATATGAAGTACTTCTTTCAATTTATTTACAAAGTAATCGATAAGTTTTTTTTTTCGTTTATCTTTTTGTATTTTTTTCATGATGCATGTGATGAATTGTTTGTTGATGCAATTTCACTTTCACCAGGTTGACTGGTTCGAACTTTTTCAGTAGGATTTTTTTCACGTGATATTATTTCACGTGTTTCTTGACAAACAGCTAATGGTGAAAGTATGCAAGCAGCTAAAAAATCACTTGGCTTTTCTTCTAAACCATATTTTTCACGCATTTTGGCACGCATACGCATATGTATAAGACCACATGATAAACAAGATATTAAAATTGAATATGCACAACAATATACACAACATGAAGCATTATTAATTTTAACTGCATTTGTACCAAATAAACAAGGTGTACAGAAAATACCTTTGCAACAAATTGATGATGAGCTACATACATTAAATAATGATTCTATAAATATTATAAAATTGCAATATAGAAAAAAACAAGAATAAAAATAATTACCACGCCAAGGTTCCTTTTGAGAATCTGTATTCATAATAATTAATGTAATGCTGAAACAAGACGAAATGAACGAGCGCCTTATTTTTACATTTGCTTCATTTTATAGTCTTTGAATAGTATTGTATTAATTTTTTGATTATATAGAAATTATACTATTGAATAATCATATTGTTTCATTATAAAAATTTGAGAATTGATGGATGTTTGTATTTAACTATTAATGAAATTAGTTCTTATACTTAAGTAATTATTCATAAAAGAATTTTGAAATTATGTTGAGTAAATACACTGACTGTCTTCACATGCATTATAGAAAGATTTATTTAATACCGATGGGTTGATAAATACACGAAATGAGAAATAGTTCGATAACTTCTATGACATTTTTTTTCTCAATTAGAAATTTAGGAAAAACATTCATAATCAAAATTTGTTCGCTAACAGTTGTTTTAATTTCAATATGGCTGAGTTGATCAAATTTATTGACACCAAATACTATGAATTAGTTTAAACCGTGAAAAACGATGGCAAATAAATTTGGTCAGAAATTAACTTTTGATTGAACCTAGGAAGATGGAGTCTTCGACTTGGAATGAATGATCAAATACCTTACTGAGAAAAACATGAAAGAATGAGCAGTCAATGTTGTAGGTTTTGACTCAGCAATCATTGGTTCTCATTTGTCATTATTAGGATTTTTCCATATTATAGTTGAAGATATATGTTATGTTGTTCTGTCTATTCAAGTCATGATAAATTCATGTGTCGAATTGGCGATGTTAGTTATTACTCTGCATGGCTTGGACCCTTTCGTTTAACAAAACTGATATGAATTAATGTTGATTATTCACTATCAGATAGAATTCATATTTTCACAATGAGCATATACTATAATTGTTCATGACCTTGTTTCAGGTAGTTCTTTTCATGAATGACTTAACGTTAATATTGGAAATGTAAAAGATTGTTCATCATGACCAACAACTGGCATTGAATGTCAATCATTTAGTAAAACTCGACGAATTGCATTCTATGTTGTTGACTCATTCAGCAGTTCAAAATGTCAGTGCAGTACCGTGTATACACTTTTTTTAGCAACGTGAACTTAATTCTATTGAAGTACTGTAGTGTTTGAAGTTGTCAGTTGTGTGAATAGGATGTAACTAGCAGTGAGAATATTAGAGTGAGGTGGAGTGTAAGCCTGAAAAATAAGAAGAATGTTCAACTGAATTCTCTTGTTTCCTCACCTGCACCTTCACCGTCACATGTCGTATGAGTTACCCACACTCACACCATTGCGTACTTTTTTTTGCTCGATCAAACTTTGATGTTATAGTATTTACCTGCATGCTATTCTTTTTTTCCTTATCTTCTCTACTATGAAGCGTTTATGAAGTGTATGAGATGAATAAAAACTCAACGCACATGAACAAAGTCATTTGCAAAGAACCAAAATATGTTCAATTGGTAGCAAATTACCGACATGCACAATGTGTGCGAATACTTGGCAAAATGAGACGATACAAGCTCGGTAAGATTTCAACGAGGAATGATGTTCTACTTACTAAAATATTTATCTAACATTTTTATATTGCAAAGTCTAACAGATAATTCCAATTTGCTGAAGAACGGATAAGAAGAAGTATTAGAGTTTCAACTATTTTTAAAAGGTTGAGAATTAAGAAAAACAGTCAAAAATTACACACTGTTATAACTAGGATTACAATCATGCATGTATTTGTAACCAACGTTGTCATATGTTTCTATGTCGAATGCAAATATACCTGTATGAGAAAGTATTTGTCTTTGTATGACTCGATCGTAATATAAAGATTGAGAGGAGCTAAGAACAAAAAAAATTCAAAATCACAAATTATTCTGATTTCAAATGTTATTCTCTAACTATAAAATAGTAATTTGTTCGCAACATATTTCAAGAGACAATTTAGATAACATTTGCTGTACGTATAATTATTCATCTTTTATTTTAAGACGAAATCATTTTATCAGATTAATCTCTATTCTTTTTCATTTGCCTAGACTATTCTCTTTTGTCAGTCTCCACACGTAATATATTGACGATCGAAAAAAAAAAATTACATGATAAAAAAGGCCAAGGCGGTATTATTCAAGAAAAGAAAATTGAAAGAATAAAAAGTACAACCAATATTCTTTAAAATATATTTTTATTGCTCCCATAAACGAAATTTGACATTGCATACGTTTCACTGTTATCTTCTTTCAAAGCAAAGATAAAGTGTAGCGCTTCTTACATTAATAATAAAGTACAAGTGAATTATGACACATGATTGGCTAATGTGAGTATACATTATTTATGGGTATGGATTCGACTCATTATTTAAATTAGTTTAAAGTCATGAACAAAGTTAATAATTATGTTAATTAGTGATTTTTAACCAAGCTGCTTCTATATAAGGTCTACAGCAATAAGAATGATCGAAACTTATTACTACAGCTAATATTTATAACGAAAAAATCTATAAATGCTAATTTTATGATGTAAGAAAAATAATTTCAGTAAATTTTCTCCCAACATTAAAATGTATGATTGAAGTTTAAATGGTTAGTAGTCATAAAACAATTAATTTTTCGACAGAAAACTTGATGGATTCAAGATCAAAAGTCAAAACTGAAGCAATTTAACTTCGTACACGGATAGAAAGTAGCGAAGAAGAATTTTCAAACAATAAATTAAATATAATTCAAACCACGTATGATAACCAAATGAAGATTTTCACTTTAAAGAATTCGATCATGCTATTCATTTCGACAGCGATTTCCTAATTAATCAGTCTATAGAATTAGTTTTTCACGTAGATTGGAGTGATACAAAGTAGCAGAACGCAGAAATAATAAAAAAAAAAATTAATTTTTAAACACAGTGAATGACACTAGTGCACAATACACTGGATTCTATGACGACTAAAACTATTCTAATTTTCTAATGCAATCACGAATAAAATGAGTAAGATATCTGATAGAAATACAGTCGATTTCATATATGTCCTAATTTTTTTCTAAGATTGTTTAGGTATAACTTAGATCAAAGCAAGGAATTTCGGTCGGATTCAGGGAGATCATCGTTAGTTTCATCATATCACAAGTAATGATATATTTAGTAGTGAGAATGTGTTGAAAACTTTCGAAACTTGCTCCATGTTCTGGAAGTTTTTCATCTATAGAATGACTTCGATCTGTCTCGAGGAAACTCACACTTTTCTATTGCTCTTGTGTCAGACATCCCACTCGATTCTTTGTCCATGCATAATTTTATCGTGAGAGTCCATGAGAGAAATATTACGAGACAACAATGCAGAAATTATGATGCTACTGAATTCTAGACTACTTGCATTAGAAATTTTACAATGGCCGATCAATTCAAACCTAGTTATACTATACATTTGACTCAGCTCCTTGTTAATTACACAGGCAATCCATTATTTTGATATAATGTGCAAGAATTTTCGAATGTAAGATCTTCGATGTTTGCTAATGATGTGAGGACACTACTAATGATAGCCTAACCATACTGAGCGATGCTATAATTTTATGACTACTGGCTACTGTGGAAGAAAGAAGCTTGATATAAATATAAATAGTGAGCTTCTATTTTTCATGATTTCGTTAAATTGCTTAACAATTTGTGTGTTGATGAACAAAGTCTACTAGAAAGAGGTATATGCTACCATTGAAGAGAATTTGTATCAGTCTCCGTTTCTGAGTACATCCTTTATGTGGCATAAATTCTTCCTTAATACTATCTATTGAACAAGCAATGAGAGGATTCATTTTTTTTTGCTATGTACTTCAAAATGCATTCGAAATTATATTTCATGAAAAGAGTCTTCGGAGAATGTATTCAAATAGTAATGACTCTATCAAACACTAAAATCATATCGTTCATAGTAAATTTAGAGGCTGGATGATGTGCAGTTGCTTTGTGGCTTTGGTTGAAAACCGGCTAATGATGTTTTATATTTATGGAAGTCATATGATTTGGTCACCTTCTGCATTTCTATGGATATTAGTAACTTTTATTCCCGATATATTCGTTTTTCTCATCCTTTTCATCCTGCTAATTTACGTTCGATGGAAAT